ATACGATGCTTATGATGATCTACACAGTCGAGTGGAAGCTGCCTTGGCCCTCCATCCAATCATTGCTGATCTCAAGTCTGAGGCATTGAAGGATCGCCACTGGAAGCAGATTCTGGGCATCTTGTCACTTGGTACGATCCACAATGGTGTCAATGGCCTCTTATTGGGACAGCTTTGGGATAGTACTGGTCTTAAGGAGCGAGAGAAGGAGTTACGTGGTCTCATGTCGGAGGCAGCTGGTGAACTAGCTTTGGAAGAGTTCATATCCTCTGTCAAGGAGTATTGGACTACACTCAATCTCGATTTCATACCCTATGCTGGGGGTAAATGCCATTTAGTGCGGGGATGGGATGACCTCTTTGCACAGCTTGATGAGCATATCAGCTCATTAGAGGCTATGAAGCATTCACCACACTATAAAGTATTCGAGACTGATACTAGATCATGGGAGGATAGGTTAACCAAGTTGAGATTGTTATTGGATATCTGGGTTGATGTACAACGTCGTTACGTCTATCTTGAAGGTATTTTCTGTAATTCCGAAGATATTCGCACTCTACTACCTACGGAATCCGCCAGGTTTGGCTCGGTTGATGCAGAATTTGTAAGTATTATGAAGAAGGTGTTCGATACTAAGGTCAACATACTGGACATTATGAGCACTGACACTTACATTCTCAAGACCCTTGAACGCTTGGGTAGAACTCTGAGCAGGATCCAGAAGGCTTTGGGTGATTATTTAGAGATGCAGAGAGCCCAGTTCCCAAGATTCTATTTTGTTGGTGATGAGGATCTTCTTGAGATGATAGGTAACTCACAGGACCTAACTGTTATCACGCAACATTTGAATAAGATGTTCGCTGGGATAGCTGGGATAGAGACTCGTCAGGATGAGGAGGATGTCAATACTGTATGGATAACTGCTCTCCGGAGTAGGGAGTCGGAGATAGTTCAACTTGGTGATGTTCATAGGGTTCCAGTAGACGTCTCGGTTGATGGTACTGCTGTGCCTGGTCAGCAGCAACAACATCGTCGTGGTATACACTACATTCTGACCTCCATCGAGAAGGCCATGCATGCTCGTCTACCAGAGCTACTCAATATGGCTATGGATCCTAGTTTATCTATATTAGACTTAGCTCGACAGTTCCCTGCTCAGATTGCCCTACTAGCATGTCAAGCTCGATGGTATAATGCACAGTCTGAGGCCTTTGGTATTCAAGGTGGTACTGCAGCTCTTCTCGAGGACTGTAAAGCAAAGCTAGAGGCTCTCTCGGCCGCTGGTGGTGCCGTACAGGGTGGTGATGACCCTCTACTGCGACGGAAGTATGAGCAGTTGATCAGCGAGGTCATCCATCAGAGGGAGATGAGTCGTCATCTGGACTCTGTGAAATGCACTAGCCCCCAACACTTCGAGTGGCTTCGTATACTAAAGCATCGGTGGTATCCCAATGACATGAGGCTGACTGTCGAGATATGTAGCGCTGTCTTCGAGTATGGGTTCGAATATCTAGGAGTATGTGATAAACTAGTCCAGACTCCTCTCACTGATCGCTGTTACATGGCACTAGCACAAACTCTGGATATGAGGTTAGGAGGTAATCCCTTCGGCCCTGCTGGTACCGGTAAAACTGAGACTGTGAAGTCCCTCGGTGCACAACTCGGCCGATTGGTAATGGTGTTCTGTTGTGATGAGAGCTTCGACTTTGCTGCAATGGGCCGTATCTTCGTGGGCTTGTGCCAAGTTGGCGCTTGGGGCTGTTTCGATGAGTTCAACCGTTTGGAGGAACGGATACTGTCGGCAGTCAGCCAACAGATCTTCTCTATCCAGTCTGGGTTACGACATCAGAAGGATGAAGTGAACATCCTCGATA